GTGTAATAAGAATTTTTGGGTAACCTCACGCTCCAAATTTGGTTGAAGTTCAAGTAGTTCCTGAGATATAGGATCTCATATAAAGGTGGGCGGTGTCACGCCCATTGTCCAATGTTTATACATGTTCCTATATAACCTTTCCATACCATCTTAGCTGTGAAATTTAAAACTTGTGACGCATTTATTCAGTGATATACAAGTATTGTAGTGTACCTTTAGTAGTTTTCAACATAACCGTTATATGAGAGTGGGCGTGGTTATTATCTGGTTTTATCCATTTTCACAGAGTATGAAGAGATGCTAAAGAGATTCATTGTCAATAAGTTCCATTAAGATATCTTAATTTTTACTTAAGTTATAGCTTGCACAGACGGACAGACGGACGAACAGGCAGATAGTCACTCGGATTTCAGATCGTTACATCATCCATTTATATGTATATAAGTATGTAACCCTATATCTATCTCGATGACTTTTAAGTGATACAAACAACCGTTAGGGGAACAAAACTATTATACGCCTTATCTTCAATATTCGGTCACTAAGCGCCTTTTATACCCGCTAAATTGTCGACTCTCAAAAATTCCCGCCAAGCTACAACTCTCCAAACCCAACTGTAGCTGCGGAAATCTTGCTGATAAAGTAGCCGCCGCGATGAAAATACATTTCGACAAAACGTAATTGTTTCGATAGAAATTGTTGTCGAAAGTAAGTTCGAAGGATTTCTAAAAATTTTTTAATCGCAAAACGTTTGAATAACCTTTATAGAGATATTTTACTAATTTTGCCAAATATAGCCATTGGATTAAAAAACAATGCATATGCCCCTAAATATCACGATACCTTAAGTAACCGTTTATAAATGTTTATGACAATTAATATACATATTAGCTGATGTAAAACGGTATGTATTATAGCCCCCATTTGGATATGCCTAATGGAAAATGCTACGACGATCTCAGCAAAGTTAGGCCCTCTGGTCTTTCCGAGTTCTAATCCTAAGTTTACTTCTATATATATATACATACCATTGATTTGCATAAGAAATTGAGTTTATACACTGAGATTTTTAATATTGACCGATATATACGGTAAAGCCAACCAGAAGTTCGAAAATTTTTATGTTGGATATATAGGGGATAAGGGAAGTATAGACCTGATTTTACCCATTTTTTACACAGAAGCACATTATTATCGGGATAAGATTCTCTCTGAATTTTAATAATATACCTCACACATTGAACGAAATTTTTGTAGAAGCCAACCATTAGCTATGGGGTCCACACATACGGTATATTTCCGAATTCGATTTTTTACATCGTAATATAAAAATATCAGTATAATGTTGTGTATCGATTTTATTTAAAATTGGTAAATTAGTTCCTCAGATATAAGGTTTGACCTAAAGATGGGCAACGTCACATCTATTGTCCAAACAGCATAAACATATTGCTACCTCGATTATTTTAAACTGTATCTTTGATGAATATTTTTTGGAATTCAGTTCTCTTTTTCTTTTTTTATAAGTTAACTGACTCACTATACAATTGCAATGAAAGTGAAACCATAAAGGCAGTTAGTTGAAATTTATTAAGCAGTTTTCTCGTATAACGGCTTTACGAGTATATCAAAGCATGAAAAAAACAAGAAAAACGTTAATTTCGGTTGCACCGAAGCTAAATACCCTTCACAGATGCATTTTTTATAGCAAAAGAGAGTATGAAAAGTTCTTTTTCTCAATCAGTTGAATGGCAGCTAAATACTATAGTAGTCCGGTCTGAACAATTTGTTCGAAGATTGTAAAGTTGTGTAGGGCAATAATCTATGCCGAGTTTATGGGAAGATACCTTGTTAAATAAAAAGCTTTAGCTTTACGCTAAAGTAGTCCGATCTGAGCAATAGAATTCGAAAATTGTAGCATTACCTTGGGCAATAATGCACGCTTAATTTTGTTAAGATACCTGGGCAACTAAAAAAGTTTTCATGCAAGGGCTTGAGTATGATAATTCAGTTTATATGGGAGTATGGTCTGACATCGGCGGTTCCTTGGGGAGAGAAGAAAGTTTGCAAAATTTTAGATCGATACTTCAAAAACTGTTCGCGTATATACCGACCAATAGACAGAGGGACGTGGCTAAATCGACTCAGCTCATCACAATGATCATTTATATGTATCGGGTGTTTTTTTTCGAGGAATAGAATTTTAAGTTGGCATTACTGTGCAATATGGCGACCGATTTAACAGCTGTCAATTGATTTATTCTCAGTTTGGTTTGGCAATTCATCATGAATAGCAAAGATAAAGAGATGCCCAACTCATCTCTCACTGGAAATGAGAGCGTAATTGCTAAACGTCAAAACCTCCTGAACTCAGGCAACTGTTAAAGTTCAGGAGGTCTGACGTTTAACAATTGGAAAAAGAGGGACGGTCAAATTGAAATTCTACAGAAAAATATGTGAACAGAGAGATTTGTTGCCGCTGTTGAAGATCACTAACAAAAATTGGAAAACAATTAAAATGAAAGAAAACGCAAAATTGAAATGTATGTGATTACATCTTTTGTGATGCCATGTTTCGTAGTATTAATTTTCAATTGAAAATGATAAAAAAAACATTCACTAATTGAGAGTTAATACATTTTTTCACTCTTTAAGTATTGAAGGTGCAAAAATCAGTTGTTTTAATATATCACAATATCACATAAATGGATTTATATAATTTTTCCATATGCATACGCATAAATGTGAAATAATATTTAATCTTAATAAATGTTCGGTATTATAATTTAAATGCCCAAAAATTATTATTTTGTCCGATCTGGCTACAGTGCAAAATTATATAAAAAACGCTATTTTTGAGGCGCTCTCACACAGGAAAGAGTTGGGCATCCCATTATCCCTGATGAATATATTCACGCCTGAACAACGCTTGCAAATAGTGCAATGTTATTTCGAAAATAATGGTTCAGTGTGGAATACCTATCGCGCACTACATTCATTTTATGAATGATGCGATAAAGCGCACTTCTGGTTGAATGGCTACGTCAACAAACATTTGCCGCATTTAGAGTGAAGCTAATCCTCAAGTGTATATCGAAACACCGCTACATCCAGAACAACAGTCAATGGTGATCGGTATAGAGTCATGATTACTAACTTTATTATTCCTGAATTGAACAATCATGATGTCCAGGAGCTGTGGTTCCACCAAGACGGCGCAATATGTCACACAGCTCGTGCCACAATCGATTTATTGAAAGACACGTTTGGTGACGGCCTAATTTCACGTTTTGGACCTGTGAATTGGCCTCCAAGTCTACGCTAGTCTACTTTCTGTGGGGTTATGTAAAGTCATTGGTCTATGCGCATAAGCCACAAACGCTTAACCATTTGGAAGATAACATTCGCCATGTTATTGCCGATATACAGCCACAAATGTTGGAAAAAGTCATCAAAAATTGGACGTCCAGATCGGACTACATCCGAACCAGCCGTGGCGGTCATATGCCAGAAATCATATTTAAAATGTAATGCCACAAGATTACCTTTCGGGTAAATAAAATTCATGTCAATCGAATAATCCATCGTTGTTTTATTCCAATTTAAAGTTCTATACCTCTAAAAAAAAAAAACCTTTATATGTATACAGATCATTTGCATAAACTTTATAGGGTGTTACTTCTGGGTGTTACAAACTTCGTCGCTTTCGAGTGAATTTCAAGCAAATTCACTTTCCATCCGACATTCGGTGTTCTATATTTCACTTTCACTATTTAATTTCCACATTTCTTTTTCAAAATGAATTCTGTGTAGAAATGAGTGTTCTGAAAAACGAGCTCACAAGAAAATATTCGATTATTATTCACTTCAAATCAATTGTGTGAATTTGATGCGGGCAAACATGTAAGTAAATTTAAACGTTAGAATTATGCAAAAAAAATATTTAAGATAGTATATTTTCATAATAAAAGTAATGGAAGCTCATAGAGACATGGCCCGAGGCTTTGTGAAGGGCGACAAAAATAAAGTCGATGCGCTTTGGATGGAATCGATTATAAAGCTTACTGTAAAGGGTGTTTTTTTAGACATGTGGTTCTCAAAAAGAAATAAAATGCTAATATAATTAATTGTTATGGCCAAGAATCTAGCTTTATTATAAAGATAAGGGTTTGCCATCGTGTTTTGAAAATAACTTTTTGCAGCAACTCTTGCACGAGTTGGGTTTTGTAAGCCCGCAAACTAAGATTCTTCAGCAATTCTTCTATATTATTAGGTCGACCGGATATTTGACGTCGCGCGAACCGAACCATAATTTTGGTAACGAATTTCAACGATTTTTAAACGTGGTTTCTGAGTAAGTCTATATATTTTAAAATGGCAAACCAAACTGAGTATAAATCAAATAACAGCTGTTAAAAAATTCAATTCGGAAAAAAGTATTCCTCATTAAAAACCACATGTTTAAAAAAACACTCGTTACATGGTCCGCCAACCAAACCTACTACTACAAACCTGTAATTATGCTATTTCAAAAAAGTTTTCTTTAGCTAATTTTTCATCGGTTTATGACGGATTGGAAGGCTTAAATTAGGAAAAAAGTTGTCCACAACATATCTGAAACTAGACAAATGGGACATTTAATAAATTCGCATTAATCGCAACCAATAGTTTTTTCTGCATTCAGCTCATCTTCCAAAACAATGGTTGCAATTATTTTGTACTTAGCTCACTTATTTTTTATTATTAATTTGCTGTATTTTATTTTGTAAATAATTTGAAAGCTTTTATTCATTTGTATAATTGAATGAAAACGAGAACGAAAATGAACAAATTTCTCGTTTTTCAGAACATCAAAACCAAATTCACTCGTTTTTGTATTAATTTTCGTTTTCAATTTCACTCGGATTCCATAACCCGCCTGATTTTTAGGTTATGTTGAAATTGGCTTCTAAAAACTTTCTAATAGTTCTCCAACATTTTAATTATTTATAGAATGTTCGAACAGTGTACATATCCCGAAACTTAACTGAAATGTAATTTATTCAAATAAAATTTACAAAACATTCGCATATCTCTATTATATACATACAAATGTGTATAAATGTACATATACATATATATGTACATACTATACAAAAAATTCAACATAACCAAAAATCTCTATGTAAAAAAGCAAAATGCATCCGTGGTTGCAACTCAGCCGTTTCTATGCGCGGCTAAAAATTTTCGACATGCCTCCAAGCTATGGCGACTCAAGTAGTTCTCCTGGCTGAAGGCCTTGGTGCACTGCGGGCATTGATAGCTCCAGTTGTGGTGGCCTTTGGTGCGCTGATGAGCGCGCAAATTCGAGCTGGAAGAACACAAGTCACAGTGGAAATTTGAATGAATATACTAAAGCACATATGTATGCATGTGTGTATATATTTTTTAAGTACTCACCGATCGGCGAAACGCTTCTGGCAGGACTCCACCGGGCACACGAACGGCTTCTCGCCGGTATGCAGACGCATGTGACCATGCAGCACCCAAGGGCGATCGAACTTCTTGTGGCATTGCTCACATTCGTAGCTCTTCTCGAGATGCTTATTGCGGCGACGCTTACTCAGCTCCGGCACCGCAAATTCGAAATCGTGCGATTCTCTGGTGGCCGCCAAACTTTTGGGTGCATCAGGCAATTTTAACGTTGCTGATTCGGGCGGATCCTTTTTTAGACTGTAGCCATGTGATAGCTGTGGTGAAGTATTTTTCGCTATAAGTGCATTGCTGGATGTTATTGTTGCTGCTGCCACCGGTTGCGCAATCGAAGGCGATTTGTCCCCAACAACTTGACTTTTGCTTGTCAACTCACCGTTGCTGGCGTTAGCATTAGCTCCTGCTATAAGCTGTGCATTTGTTTGCGTTTCATCCGAATCGGCTGACTTCCAATAGACATGACTGAAGGTGCCTTTCGAGTTGTGGCCCGAATGACGCTCCATAAGCGGTGTATCCAAAATTATTTCGAGTTCATAGCGCGTTGTCATCGGTATGAAATCACTGTCATACCTTTGAAGTGTTTTTTTTTTTTTTGTTTGTTTTTTAATGAAGTACAAAATTAATTTTGTATAAAAGTGAAAAGCAAAAATTGTATAAAATCAATAACTTGCATCGCGTTCATATCGCGTCTTACCACTCGGAGGAGGGCAGCAATTTCTTGTGCTTTGGCTTCAATTTGTTCTTTTTCTCGGCCATCGGTTTCGGCGTGGCAATGTAGTAAGTGCGCTTTAGCTTGGGCAGCTTCGCGATTTTCGGAAAGATTGGTATGCGCCGAAAGACATCTGCGGCATCGGGTTTAGTAAATAGTATAAGCTTATGGTTATTGTTTTATCTGAATTCGCTTACCATCCAACGCCTCGTTAACGCGTATTTTTGCGTAATTGTACCGTTGTGAGAAAATGCTGCGCACCATCTTCGCTTTTGAAAAAATGTACTTTTTGTTCCTTCGTCACTCGCTGCTGAATGGAAATAAATTTGAAATTTTCTCGAAAACGTTGTTGAGGTACTTGAGAAATAATTACCTTGTGTGAAAAATTCATGGCCAACTAGGCAAGCTTAAAATTAAATGTTGTGCAATTTTTCTAACGCAATTTTGACTTTGAATTAAGCAAAGTAGTTTTTCAGCCAAAGGGATAAGTGTAATAACCGTATTTTTTATAAGAAGTAGTAGATTGATGAAAATTAGAAGCAGTCATCATCAGGTGATCTGCCGATGGCGAATAAGAAGCAGCAAATTTATTTCTGAAAAATATCACTCAGCGCAAATGTGAAAACCTTGTGTCCATTTCTGACAATAAAAAAACGATTTACACTATTTCTGTCTGTTATGCTAAGATTATTATTATCCTTATTTATTTTATCATGAATCAAGCCTTCAATTTGTATTTTCTATCCTCAAAATATATTTCCGTCTATTGCCAAGTTCTTATTGTTTGCTATTAATATAGGATTAAGCTTTTTTCCCTAAAATTAGAAAAAGTAGTTTGAAGATTCGGTTGGTATCAGGTGTTAAACAGCGCCTTTTTTAAGTTTTATTGAAATTCAATGCAAATGTGCAAAAATATCCAGAAAACATCTGCGAATCAGATTTTGTTCTCTCACTTAAGAACTGAATTGCAGTGAAATTCTTTATAGCCGGACACCCACCTTCTTAGTGTCTTTGTCCGGCTTTGGGAACTGTCCACATATGTCCCGTAGCAAAAACTTGTGTTTAAAATGTATACCAGAGTCAAAAAATTAACAAAATTTGTAATTTTTTATTAATGTACAATATGTTTTACAAAACGAAAAATAACTCAACTCTTTTGAACAGAAAGAGTTTACCTTCGGAGCCACACAGCAACGACATCAAATAAAAATTACAACATATGGTACATAGTTGTAGAAATAATAAAAATTACTGCAACTCAGAACTATATTGCTACTGAACTAATGATTGTGATTCAATGTCAGCCAAGAGTGAATGAATGACAATTATCTCGTAACTTTCCGTTGAGCCACCGCGAACCAGAGTCAATTTGTTAGCTGTGATTATTTTGCATATTGTTTTTTAAAAAATGTTGTCAAACTCTATAAATTCATAAAGGTACAGAAAAACGGGAACATTTTATTGGACAGTCCGGTTATAAGGGCTGTCCGTTTTGCGGAATTTCACTGTAATACATGTTTTATTTAACCATTATGTAAAAAAGTGGATATTTGTAATTGTTCTAAGAAGAAATCCCCTTCAAGTCTAAGTCCTTCCTCAAACTTCATATTTCCAAACGGTCCCAAATACTTGTTAACTCCAGCGTGCTCTTAAAACACTTTGTTTTGGGAGGTTCTTTCCATTTATTTAACTAGTTATTTCCATATTTTGAAATGCTCACACTCATGAAATCCAATTGGAAACACACGAATATTTCAAATTTCGTATTCACGCTGGGAATAATATGGAAATAAAACCTAATAAATTCCAAGCAAAACGAAGGAAGCGTTAAGTGGTCTGCTATAAAAAGATGTGAATAAAATTAATTAACAATTACCGCCATAGATAAGATATCCATGATTACCGCAACCGGTATGTAGTGATTTGAAATTGAAAAAACCCTTAACAATATAACAAAAATATTTAATTTTAGCTTTTATTTCATATCCATTCGTTTCACACTTTACTCCTTAATATATAAATAATTTTTATTAGTCAAGCATTCATTAATACATATTTTTATTTTTATTGAACTAATTTTATTTTTATTTCAAGATTTAGCTAATTACAAAATATGAAGTACAAACCAGTGTTGCGAATTTTCTAATTAAAAAATTTTGCATTAAAAAATCTTGGATTAAATATTTATTTAATTTTTTAATTAAATAGTAAAATTTAAAAATTTTAAATTCATTTTCTAATTCAAACCATCTTGGATTAAAAATTAAGAAAACATTTTTTAATTTTAAAAATGGAGTAATAAATAAAAAATATTGTTTTAATTAAAAGAGTAAGTTTCGTACAGAAACCCTAAATTTAAAAGCAGTTTAATATAAATAAGAGAAAAAGAGTTAAACTACTTGTAGGTTGATATGTCTTTATAAATAGGCTATCCTTAATTAAGAAGTTAACTCAGTTAGTTTTTAATGAATTATTTGCAACCCTGGTACAAATTTATTTATCTGTCAGTATCTATGGGGATACATATTTAAAGCCGATTAGATAAATTATTACTCAAAGTATAGTGAGTTATCTATACCGCAAAACAAATAAAAATATATCTGCATATCAGTGTTGCTAAAACGTGCAACTATCTGTAATTTAACAACAATTGAGTGGCAACGCCATGCGCTGACAACTGAACCAGTGCAAAGCGAAACACGACAAAGCAATAAAACATTGTGGGAATTTGGAACACTTTTGTGGTTATACGTTCGGTTGTTTGCTGTGAATTTTATTCATCAGTTTTTACAAATAGTTTTTTACGAGCGAAATTTAACGGAATAACTTCAATAATATCGATATTCTGTGTATTACGGAGTTGTGAAAAGTTATTTAATAGAAAATTGTTTGAGTTTAAACCGAAGCAAACTGTGTGAACGATAACTAAAACGGCAGGCAAAATATACCATCAGAAAAAGGCCAGGTCACGACCACGAAAGACGCGAATCATTCTCTGCAACTCGTCTATCTTTTATATGTGCTTTCGCATATTCTTTTATATGTAAGTTTCAGCGTTTTTGAACCATAAACGCTTTGAAAGCAAACCTTTCAAGTTATAACATTGTGGCAATTACACAAACTTTTATGTATATACTGTGTGAGTTCTGAATATAATTGACGTTATTGCTGGAAAGCGGAAAATCAATGTATAATTGACCTGCTTCTTTAATGCAGCAGCTGTTCTAATTACATTTTAATCGATTTTGTACGAAGTCGGAAACGTCCGTGCAATTGCATTTTCCTATTGCTAACTTGCAACAGCCATAAAAACAATTTGGAACAGGTTGGTGTCTTTTAATACAGTAGTTAATATGAAATATTGAAGATAATAAGCATTATTTGTAAATATGAAAAATCGATGCGTTTAAGAATATTGTATAAACAAGCCTAGAAGGCCTACAGAAGATTCGTTTTTTCATATTTGTGATGTTTCCATGTTTCCTCTTTTCGTGTGCTGCGCCCTCGGAAGCGTTATGTAGTCAATAAAGCAAAAGTGCCGGCATGCGTTTTTGTTGCTTTCATTGCTGTACATGTGTGTGGGTAATGTGGAAAGTTCCTCCGGTTAGGAAGAGGGCTTGTCGGCTGATGATATGCGGCAAAATAATAAAAGCGGAAATGGAACTGGAACACACGTCAAGCTGACAAAGGCACTGTGTTTTCTGGTACACCAACAAACCGTGAACAAGCGTTTTTGAGGGCAGCACCGGTATACAAGTTAAACGTACTAAGTTTAATTTAATTGTATACATATATTTTTTATATAATATGTTGTCGTAGCATATTCGGCTTATTAGTATTTGCGATATTTAAATTAGTTTCGTTTTAAATTCAAATTTTGACTTACTTTTACTAAGAATTGAAATAGTTTATGACCAGTTAAATATTTTAAAGCAGATCAGGTATTTTCTTATTAACTATTTATTCATTTAATGATATGTATTAAAATTTTAGGGAAAACTTTAGTATACCGTCCCAGGCTTTCGGGGATAAAATGGGTATGGGCGGATAGAGGAGATCCTCCAGATCAAGAATATATATAGATATAGCCGCGGGAAACTTATAGTTTTCGAGATATTTACGGTAAAAGGTGAAAATTACAACTATTTAAAATCCGTATTTTTTCGATTTAGTATGAATTATACCCTTATATTTTTCACTTTTATATCCACTAACACTTCACTAATTCGTTTTTAGACATTTATTTTATATTATATGATGCAAAAATAGTTTTATTTCAATATTTAAATCATTCTTCAATTTTATTTATCACCTCTATCCGCCCATACCCATTTTATCCCCGAAAACCTGGGAAGCCATCACGGAGATAGATCATAGGTTGACAATATTCCAATATTGATTATATTACATGTATGTACATATATAAACTATGTCCATATCCGTATTTTGTTAAAAATAAGTATTTTCAAAAGATAACAAAATAATAGTATTTTGGATTAAATATTAAAAATAAATATAAAACAAACCAAAATTAAATTTTTATTCGATTTTTGGGATAACATTTTTTTTTAATCTGGCATTCGGGGTTTAAAATTATATTTAATTAAGATTTTCGAGATTACAAAATATAAAAAAAAATTATTTAATTAATATGTTAATTTTTTAATGAATTATTTACCACCCTTCATATAATATATGTTTTAATTAAACAGTTATCATTTTTTGTCAAACAATTTTTAACCTATGTGCAGTGCGTTTTATTGCAATCTGATGTATTATAATGAAATTTGTTGATTCCTATTCTGATCAAAAAATTTTCGTGCATATGTTGCTTCATAATTAAATATAATACCAGCTAACCCTATACTTCAAGCCTTTACTTCCTCTATAAGTTTGCAGTGAGAGAATATGTAAAAGCAACAATTTTTCTTAACTTTTCACCATTGTGACCTTTATTCGCACATTTTCATTCATTTCCAGCGCAATTTTTTTCTTGTTCATATCTATTGTTTTATTATCTATTTATTTTTTGCATGTATTAGTCTAACAATTGCGAGTTCATTAGTGAATGAGTGGATTGTTCGTGAATTTGTAACTAACACAAGTGACAAACTGGAAGAAATTAGCATATAAATTGAAAATGCCGCAACAAACCTACCCTATATACTAGTACATACCATACAATAACCCTGTAGGAAAACAAAAACTTTTTGGGCAAATATTCGCTTAACGAATGACTGAAAAGTGAACTTTTTGAGAAAAAGACAACAAAGTTTAAGAAAAGCTGATTTTGTCGAGTTACTGAATTATTATTCAATGTTGACTTTTAGCAAAAATTTATTTTCTTGGATTTTCAAAAAATAAAATTTTTCTTCCGTCGACTGCTAAAGGAAATATGTATTTGCCATACAAACTAATCGTTCAATAGGGAATAAGGACTTCCTTGTATTAAAAACTTTTTCACAAGATATCTTCATGAAATTCGGTATGGATTATTTCTCAAGACAATGCTACTATATTCTAACATATTGTGTAGATCAGACCATATATTTGTCATACATCCTGACCGATCTAAATCAAGTTTTCTTATGCCCGCCCCACTCATCTAACACCCTTCTCCCTATGGTCCGACCCCGTCGAAACAGCTCGTTTCCTGGACCTCCCGTTAGATGACCTCGACGACAACGAATCCCACAACAGCCGGTTCTGCGATACCGGAATTGACCCGGATTTTATCCGGCCAAGGGCTGTTATTTCGACGATCTAACCCTGTTTGGATCGGTAAGTTTTAGATTAAGTTTGTCGTCACTGGAGCAACGCCTAGCAGCAGGGTTGCTCCGTATCCTC